ATTCTTATAAAAGGTATTTAAATTTTCAAACTACTTTTTCTCATTAATTTTAGATTTTAAGAAAAAAAATTAACAAGCACCCGTGTAATACACGGGTGTTGTACTAGTAATTAAATAATATCAATCAATCATTCATATACACCATATCAACATTAATTCACTATTCATCAACTCACACAATTTTAACTAACAATCACTTCAAATCGCCTCTCTCCTACTTTTACTTAAAATCAATTTTGTTTATTTTATTTTCAATATTATTATAATGTACCCACTAACAACTAAGCATACCACATTTTTCTAAATTAATCAAACCAAACCAAAATATCCAACAACATCAAAAAATTTGTATCCAAACATGCTCGAAAAGTGTTGCTTCAACAATGTGAGAAGCATATGTGTTGATAGAGAATAACTGTATAATCCTTAGAGCATCTCCAACCACAATCTCTATAGTTACAGTTTCTACAGTAAAATCCCACTGGTTATACAACAGTGCCAGCAACTCCAACTCATTCCCTCTATAATTCTCCTCTAAAAGAATATTCCAAGAATATTCTTTTCTAATTTAATTAGTTTATTAAATAATCTATACAAATTACATTTTAATGCATTATGCTTGTTAAAATTTACATATTTACGTATATATATTAATTATCGACTAATAAGATTAATTACTAAATTTAAATCAAAAATGATAAAATTTCACACTACATCATAAAACGACGTGGATTTCATCACAAACATTAATTTGAAAAAAAAAAAAATATATCAACACAAACATGAAGCATTCAATACAACAAGAACTACAGAAAACAAAATACAACACTAGTTATTGCCATGAGAATATTTTTCCCACGAATGTGCAACCAATGCATTACGAAGTTCATAGTGGGCAGACTTATCCTTGATTCTTTTGTGTCGAACAAGAAATTGTTGAAAAGAGACGTGATCTCGCGGTGTTGGAATAACCGTAGGAGCACCAAATTGAACATCACTTCTAATTGGTGCACTAAGATCCCGTTGCTCTTCGACATTCATATTCTGCAAAATAATACATGCTTTCATTATATCATTAAGCACCTTTTTTTTTCCAAAAACGAACAGGACCCGCGACGATTGTAAACCTTTTTTGCAGAACTCCAAATGCACGCTCAACATCTTTTCTACATGCCTCTTGTCTCATTTTAAAGTATTCCTCCATTAGATTTGATGGTGCAACAAAAGACTGAACAATAGTGGACCATTTTGGATATATACCATCTGCTAAATAATAGCCCATACTAAACTGTTTACCTTGTGTAATTAGCTGGTGGAGCGATACCTTCAGCAAGATTTGACATTAGAGGTGATGCTTCCAGCACATTAATGTAATTATTCGCACCTGGCATACCAAAATATCGATGCCATATCCATAGATCATAATCTGCCACAACTTCCAAAATGATTGTTGGTTTTCCGGAACGTCCAGCGTATTGACCAGCCATGCCTTAGGGCAATTCTCCCATTCCCAGTGCATGCAGTCCAAGCTACCTAACATACGTGGAAAACCACGTTGTTCACCAATATGAAGCAATCTAGCGATATCATCGTGATTTGGTGATCTCAGATATTGTGCTCCAAAAACTTCAACGACTCCACGACAGAATCTCTTTACGCATTTGTTGGTCGTTGACTCAGCAATCTTAAGATATTCATCGACACCATCTGCTGGAGTTTTATAGGCCAACTGGCGAAGCGATGCTGTCCCTTTTGTATATGTTGACAATCCAAGTCGACCAAGACATCCCGACGTTGTTGGAAAAAACTATCATGATTTTCCAATGCTCGCATAAAACGTTTGAAATTATGAATAGAAATCCGGAACCTTCGACGAAATGTATCTTCATCATAGGTTGGATTACTACTAAAATAATCTCGAAACAGTGTGCGATGAGCCTCCTCCCGATCACGATGGACTACTCTAGGTCCCGGAACAGAACCTCCCCAAGTTGGTTGGCTAGTTTGCACGGAGAGAGCATGTGCCATAAAAAAATTATTGGTTTGCAATATATGAGTGGTGGTTGATTCCAAAGTGTTAACAAAAAGAATCAATGAAGCATTTGCATCTTCCTGATCAGAATCATAATTATAAGGGGGAAGATAATTCATTGTGAATGATATTAGAGAGAAGTATTACAGAAATATTTGATAATGAATTTATATTTAGCTTGGATGATATCATGTATAGTTTCATGTTTATATAGATGAATGTATGAATAAAAGAAATACATTGGTTCTTCATTGGATTCTTTTTCAGACAATACTATGTGAAAAAAAATTGACCAACTCAATGCCAAACGCAATAATTTTAGACAAGGTCATGTGATCATTACTACACAATATTATTGTACGTTGGACAATGTCATGTGATCATTGGATTCGATTCTAACCATTGGATTCTTTTTCAGACAATGCCATGTGAAAAAAATTGACCAACACAATGCCAAATGGAATTATTTCGAACAAGACCATGTGATCATTATTACACTACATTATTATTGGACAATGCCATGTGATGGTATTGATTAGTTGGCATTGGACAATGCCCAGTGGCGAAACCAGTCGGCCATCCCGGGGAGGGCCCAATTTGCCGCGGAGCACCACCCCCACTCCGGCCATCCCGCGGCGCACCACCCCCACTCTGGCATCGGAAGGGCGCTCAAAGGGCTTTTGTGGACGCTCTCAAAAATTTTCGCAAGATATAAAGGAATACTCTAGAGACTTTTCTAAAAATCAAACTAAGTCTGGAATTAAAGTGGTATACTTAAACTGAATTGTTTTAACTCGAAAAATACTCGAATTTATACTAATAAAAATCTCGAACTCAATTATAATAATAATCAAGAATTATACCTCCTTTCAAATAGACGAAAAGCTGAAAAAATTGAGAAAACGAAGCCTCGAACGATCGAACTCGTCCTCGACAATTTTGCTCCTTTTGATACTATTTAACGCAGAAATTCAAACTCCCATAATAAATGCTCGGAACTCCAAAAAATGTGAAATATGTCCGTATGGAATCGTGCTTGAATTGTCTACACGCTCCAACTCGATTCTCGTTAAACCGAGGTCACACGCAACCTTACGGAACCCCGCAAAACGACCTTTTATTCTTCTATTATGCGCACTCGACTTCGAGCTTCTCAAAATAAATGCTCAAAACTTCGAACGTGAAATAAATTTTACGAAAGGCTTCTACTGTTCTCGTGCTTTGAAGAAAGCACTCCCGCTAATTTTCAGCACGCCTAACGAGGGCCGACCGTTACCCGAAGTCTAGACATGAAAATGACAATAAAATCACCGCCACTGCCATTTTTCTCTCAACTTCGAGCTACCCAAAATAAATGGTCGGGACCTAAAAATCATAACTCGATGCCACCAACGCACTCTCCGCTTCCTGTACTTTCATAAAACTATTTTTCGGTAATGATCCACTCAGTTTTTGAGTCCCGTCGGTACACCGCAAGTCGGCTAATTAACCAACTCAAAATATAATAAAAATAAAAAAAAAATTATTAAATTCTGATATTGTTATAGTTCCCCTTGTCCCGAAACCAGGATCCCGTTTCGGGGAGGGCCCAATTTGCCTTTAAAAAAAAAATTTCACGACAAAACCGGTGGCGCCCTTCCGGCCATGTATGTACCGCTTGAAACCGGGGAGGGTCCAACATGAGCGCTCAAAGGAAAATCTTCCAGTTCAAGCAAAATCCTCCACCCCTTGTTTAAATTTTTCTTTTTTTAGGGGCTGGCGCCTCTCCGACCCCCCACATGGTTTCGCCCCTGACAATGTCATGTGATGTCATTGGACACTACAATATTACACTATATTTTTAAGTTTACACTACATTAATTTGACCAACGCATTATTGTTTGAAGCTGTCATGTGATGGCATTGATTAGTTGGCATTGGACAATGCCATGTGATGCCATTGGACACTACATTATTACACTATATTTTTGAGTTTACACTACATTAATTTGACCAACGCATTATTGTTTGAAGCTGTCATGTGAATTCGTTTATCTATTTATACATCAAACTTCAAGAAGCAACTACACACATATCATTTCTTCTTCCATTATTGTAGTCTTCTTGTTCCCACTCTTCTTCAATTTTTTATTTTCTTCAAAATGTCTTCTTCAAAAGGGCCAAAATACTCCAAACCGAAAGATGTCTTAATTGTTAGATGTTACATAAGTGTTTCACAAAATCCAATATCGTCAAATGATCAAAGTTCTTCAACCTTTTGGAAAAAAAAAATGATGAATACAACTCCCAGAAACACAAAGATTTACCAGAACGCTCTATAAGGTCCCTTGACTCTCGTTACCGTCTCATGGAAACCCATTGTCGGAGGTTTAATGGATGCTTGAAGCAAATCGAATATCGCAATCCTAGTGGGACACAAATCCAAGATATATAGGGTGAGTATTTTGCTTTAAATTCAATCTCGGTTCATGTTATTTGCTTGTTTTATAAGTATACTTACAATTGTATATCTTTTACTTTGTTTGTAGATTGAGCAAGCCGAACGATTGTTTGAACAAGACCCAAAATATAAAGATGGCTTCAAGTTTCATCATGTGTTCTGACTATTCAAAGAGTTCGGTAAATTTGATGATAATGTGTTCCAACCACGATCTCGTCGTCGGGATTTCGATACACTCAATGACTCTTCCGAGTCCAACGTTCCATATGGTGGACAACCAACACCAGAGTCTCCGGGATTGTCATCTTTTAGTCCTCAACAAAGTGACGATGGTGTTGGTGGAACATCCTCTCAACGTCCAATGGGAGCGAAGAAAGCAAAATTGAAGAATAAAAATGAAGACCAATTTTGCCAATATTTTCAAACTCTAAATGCTAAAAGTGATACTATTGTTGATTTATTGCAGAAAGCCGATGAACGTCAAAATGTCCAGCTTCAATTGTAGAAACAACAAATCGATTTGCAGAAAAAGAGGGATGAAGATAGAATTTTGATGATAGATTTGAATTCCCTTACGAATCCCATGATACGTCGACATTGGGAACAAAAACAAATGCAAATTTTACAAGAAAGAGAAATTGAGCAACAACAATCTCAAGCAACACAACCATCATCTAACACGGGTCAATTTAGATTTCTCGACGACATCGGGCATGACGGAGGAAATTTGAATGATTATTATGGTGACAATTAAGTCTATGAAATCGTCTATTTGATAATCCTTTTTTAGTTTTTATTTTATGTTTCGTATTAATTATTGTTGTTGTAGTATGTGTGAGCTTTAAGATGAATTTTTTAGTTTATTTTTATGTTGTGATTTTAATTTTAGTGTTTGTACTTTAATTTTAAGTGTGTTGAATGTTTATCCTTATTTTGTAAATTTAACTTGTTTGTTTGAAATATTTATTTAAGTGAATTTAAGTACTAATTAATATTCTATCATATTAATTAATAAAAGTATCCAATTTTTCATTATACTACTTAAATTTCTACCATATTAATTACAATAATTAAGTTTAAAACTTTTATAAAAATACTTTATTTCACTCATAAAATTAATTAATCTAATTAGTCCAATTGTAGTTAAAAAACCCCAATCACAATACATTCCTTCTATAATTCTCCACTAAAAAACATTCCTAGAATATTCTTTTTTTAATTATATTATTTTATTAAATAGTCTTTACACATTACATTTTAATGCAGTACGCTTACATAAAATTTACATAATTATGTATAAATATTAATTACTGATTAATAAGACTAGTTAATAAATTTACATAAAAAATTTAAAACCATAAAATTTACCTTGTTCGTTTATAATATTTAGTTACAATTACTAAGTTTAAATAAAATTTATACAATATTTTAATTTAATCCATTAGATTATTAAAAAAAACCAACTCATCTAGCCCAATTGTAGTTAAAAACAACAAAAAGAAGCCCAATCCATTGTCCAAAATTTGTCAACCAAAGAAAAAGAAAAAAGTTAAGAGGATGAACAGTGGAACGGTGTGGAAACCGTTCCACAAACCTCTCCCCCTAAAATAGCGGAAAGGACAGAGCTTGGTTGGAGATAATTTTTCTCTATGGAAGGCGTTTTCACTGGGTTTACCGGGTGGGTTGGAGATGCTCTTAGACACTCTAACTAACATTACCGTTCAACAATGTGTTGAAAAGGTTAGGTAAATGCCATTCAGTAAAGTTAATAAAATTCATTCTTAAATTTCAAAATAATTTGGTTAATAATTCTACTTAATTTCCTTAAGTAGCTCCAAAAATTTAGGTCTCAGTAAGTATTTGTTAATAATAATTTGATTGTTCCCCTCATTGAAGTCCCTTAGGAATATACTAATCAGGCCATGCACTTTTTAAATATCTTAATTAATGTAAGTTTGATGCATCAAATACTCCTTATTTCCATCATTTTATTTTTTCAATATCAAACATCAAATCTTCAAATTTTTAACTCATGAAACAACTAGACGAGTCGAGTTCTCATGTTTGAGCTCGACTTGTTTAAGCTCGGGCTCGGCTCGAATCAACTCGTTTAATAAACTTACAACGTTAAACGAGTTGTTTGTAAATATGAAGTATTTGTTCCTAATAAGTTTCGATCGATTGTTTTTAAAACACACAAAATAGAAAAGTAAATTAGAAACGATTTGTTAGCAAACAAGTTTGGTTCAGCTTGATTAATAAACGAGCTCTATCAACAGTTTTAGAATGAACCGAAATAAAGTTTGCACGAGTCGGGTCGAACTGAGTTGAGCTGAGCTGAGCTGAGCGGTGATTTCACAAAAGAAAGGGACAAAAAGCAAAAAGACTCCCTCATCACTTTTTTTCCAAACCAACGGTAAACTCCATTATTTGCCCATTTGAATAATATACATCGTCACTCACTTTTCAAGCGCAGACCAGAAAACAACGAAAATGGAGAAAGACTGCAAAATGAAGAAGCACAATAGAGAGATGAAGAAAACTAATGGCCGCCCATTGCAAGATATCAATGGCGGGTCTATTGCACAGAAGCCCAGCACCAAAAAACCCTCAAATTTTTCATCGTATTCTTCATCAGCTGCTCCCAATCCTCGTCAAGCACCAAAATTCTGTTCGAAGAAATCTTTTCTCTCCTCAAAAACCTCTTACTTACCATCTTCTTCACGAGCCCAGGTTCAGAAAATTCCGAGCACGAACTCTTACAGAACATCAAATTCATCAAAGCTGCTGTCCAAATCCAAAGAAAATGAGATGCCTAGAAAACCCTTTTCACAAATACCCAAAAGGGACGCACCCCAGAGCCAAAATCTTAAAATCATTGCAAAACCCATTTGCAAAAATGGTCGAAGATCGAAGCTTGCACCTGTTGAGAGCCAAAAATCGAACAAATTCGAAAAGGGGCCTTCAGAATTTCAGTCAAAGTTGAACAAGAACTCGCAAAACAAGGGTCCAACTACTGTGATGGTTAATTTTTCTTCAAATGAGGTAGAAAAAGAGAATGATAGTAGTTGTTGCACTGCTGTAAAAACGCCTCCGGTTGAGGCGTCACTATCTCCCGAGATCCAAACTCAGTCACGTTCTAAGATTCCGGTTTCGAAAATGGAGGCGAAGACCCCCATTTTTTACGGTGCCGGCCATCTCGTCTCGGGTGTCAACGATAAAAGAAAGTGCAGGCGAAGGGGGAGCCTTAAAGGTTTTCAAAAAATTAACCTTTTTCATGAAAATGGTGATATCTCGATTCCTTTGCCTGCCGAGGCCTCGGTCAGGTGGGTCTTATCCCCATGTGACGAGGAGCGTGCGCATTCCGATCGTGCTTCGAATGAAAAAGCATCTGATTCAGTGTGTGCTGATATTGGTTCTGATAATGAGGCGAATAGTATGGGTCATTATTCAGCATTATCTATTTCTTCCTTGAGTGGTGGAAATATCATCCGGACACTGAACTCGGACTCCAGCTCGGGCAAGCAAGGCGGACATGTTCGGTCTGAAATGGATGCTGCAAGTAAATCTTTGAACGAAGTGCATATGCCAATGTGGGACCCTGCTATTTTACGAGAAAGTGCAGTTAATAGTGTTTCTTCTTCTTGGGTGTCATTAGATAATTTGGCATTGTCCCGGTTGAAAATTTCGTGGCGAGATGGGCTTGCAGACAAGATTCTCGAAAATGATGAATTCGATGATTGCTGTTGCTTGTTGTCCGATGAGGAGGCCGATGGGTTTTGCAGTGAAAAGAAGATAGTATCGTGTCTAGGCAGTGAAGAAAAGGAATCGGGTGATAATAATAAAGACAATGGTTTTAGTATGGAAAACGGCTCGTGTCCGGTGTTTCTCGAATATGAACCTCAAGTTTGTGGCAGAGGGAAAGAAAAATCATCGTCAAATGGGGTTAACGTGTGTGTTGCAGAGTCTTTTTTGACTGATGGGGGTAGCTTAGTTGCTTCTAGTGATTCGGACTGGACTTACTGTCGTGAAAATCACTTGTTTCAGGTAAAAAAATAGTTACTCCCTAGCGGCAACATTTTTCGATGTTTACTTATTGGACAAGGAGCTCTACTTATTAAAGATTACTTGACTGGGATTGTTTGTGGTGGATTTTGTGAGAAGTTCCGCTAATTCTTGCATGATTTTATCGAGTACTCCTCTTTACTTGATCTTTGACTTGGGACAAAAGGTGGATTATAGCTGATTAGGTTGATATCAGATGAAAAACACATGTAGGAATCGAGTCGAATTTCCAAAGGAAGTTCAAGTTGAAATAGTCTTTTTTAGGTTCATATCTGATGCAAAAAACTATCTTATCTTGCTTGAACTCAACTTGAGCTAGGCCTGAGCATTACAAAACTGAACGCATATGCGCGCGCAAATAGTGCCAGCAAGCAGACGAAGTTTTTACTGTTTTCATCATTGATTCTTGTGATCAATTTAAAGTGTCAAAGTACACTAGCTGGGTTTTGTGAGGAGTGATGATGAACACTCTTGTGATTGTTGAATCTCTAGTATTTGTTGGCTTTCTTTCGATGCAGTGAATTATAAGATAGTTTGCAGTTCCATGTTGTTCTCGACGTCGTCGTTTTTTTTT